CTTTATAAAGGAGAATTTCTTTTTCATAGAAAAAAAATTTCTTTTTTACAGCACTTTTCACTGTTTAATTTGTTCAGTCTTCCTCTTAATCATGTCAATTCCAGGCAGAAAAGCGCACTACGCGACAGTTTTTCGGAATTTTTTTGTCTGGAAACAATTCACCAGTTGATCTTACTGTTTCCAAGGGAAAAATAGAGGGAGGGAATGATTGAGACGGTAATCCTTTGGTTCCCTTAAGAAAGAATTTTGGATAGCACTGGTCTTAGCTCTGTTAAGAATTCTTATGCAATTTTAAGACGGTTTATTTTCGTGCACACCAGTATCAGTTTACCACCTAAATCAGTGTTTGACAGGAATGGAGGAAATGCATGTTAAAAACATTTTTTTTTTCATGGGAATTAAAAAAGTGCACTGGTGGCAGTTTCTATTTTACTCGAAGCCACGGGTTTTTAGGATCTCGATCAGGAGACGCTAAACCGTATCGACTATCAGAATCAGGTACAGACGCTGCAAGAAGAGATCGATTTCATACGCCGTGTCCAGGATCAAGAAATCCATGATTTGCAAGCAATGGCAGCACGTGACACCACCAGCGAAAATCGCGAATTCTTCAAGAACGAACTTTCGTCAGCGATCCGTGACATTCGCAATGAATATGATCAGGTTATTTGGATTCATTATCATGCCAGCTAATCGTGTTACGGATGACTTTTTCAATTAAACCAAAACTCTGTCAGAACGGTAAAAGCCGTCCTTGCTTTTCTAGTTCCGGTACCAAAAATGCTGGGCAGTGAAACCCCAATCGCTTGTACGCAACTAGGCGTACAAAAGAAAACAAGCTGGAACAAAATAACTTTTTGCACCTTTGATGATCTCATCCGACCAATTTTGAAATTAAAGATTTTGGACTGTCTATTTTGTTTGAACTCCTGGAGCCCTCCCATACTTACTTTTTTTTTGAGGGGCGCAATTAATAAGGCATGAAAACAGCAGTTGCTCTTTAGTGAAGCTGTCAGTGGTCTTCTCTTCAAAAGGAATTGCCTGGAAGCAGGCTGCTGACTTCCTGGCATGTTTCACAGTCAGTTTTACCCTGGGGAAAATGAACTAATCGTAGAATTACTTTCCTTTTTGACGAAATCAAACTTTCGTCCATTAGCAAGCCAGTGACGTCTCTTGTTACTAATATTATATCCGCCATTGTGTTGTGCCGCC